ACATGAAACAAATTTAGAGTAAAATAAAAGTTATAATTTTTTGGACAACATATTTATAGATCACCTTGTTCAACTTATAATATAGACTTGTGGTAAAAGTTTATTTTATTTCAATTACCTTAAAATTTTTACATTTTTTTCAAAAAAAAGGGCTCCTCTAAAATTAGATTCAAATTTGGACATCGATTGTAAATGGCAGAGACTTGATGGAGACTTGTTGGGACAGCATGATAGCAGTAAGAAGGGCCTCAAAATTCTCAAATAGAAGAATTTATAACTAAATACTTCCTTAAAATAACAGAATTTATGGCGACGAATACTTAGATTTATAATCCTTTTTTGTCCTTCAAATTAAAATAACAATAAAAAAACATAGAAGAAGGTAATTTATTTATAAAATATTTTTAAAAAATTAAAAGTAAGTTTGTAAAATATTTTTAAAAACATTAAAATAAATGTTTATATATAGTGCAACTTGTGTGATTTATTTTTAAAAAAAATACTTGAAAAAGATTAAAATGCCACCAACTCTTTTACATTTCTTTTCTTTTCCTTCTGGGACGTCCATAGTGGCCAAACCAACACACTCACTCCCTTTCTCTCTCTCCCCCTGTCTTCCTATCTTTTTCTTCCTTCTTCCCTTTTGTTTCTGTTATTTTTATTTTTATTTCTTCTAGGGGTGTTCAAAACTGAACCAGACCAATTGGACTGACCCAACCCAAACCAAATCGACCAAAAACTGAACAAAATCGAAAAAAATCGATTTAATTCAATTTTTGAAGGCTGTGGAACCAATCGGTTTGGTTCAATTTCGGTTTTGGCATGAATCAAAACCGAACCAAACTGAACCGATTACTTATATGCATATATAAATTATATAGGTATAAAAGCAAAACAAAACCCTAACCTTAACTAAGTTCTGTTGTCTCTCTCTCTAACGCCCCTCTCTTCTCTCGCGGTCGCGAATGCAGCAGAGCCTCATGTTCTCTTTTTCGACGGACGGATCTTTTGATCCTTCTCATTTCCTCGCACTTGCACAAGTTAGATTCTTTTCCTCCTAATTCATTTTCTTCCTTCATTGCTTCTTCTTATTTTCATTTTATCTTATTGATTTGTCTCTTTGTCCCTGCACCCTCTCTCTCTCACATAGCACAACAGACCAGTGAATCTTCTCATCTCCTCGCACTTGCACAAAATTCTGAACAACGGGTCTCTCAGCTTCTTTCCTCTTTTTCCTCCATAGCTGCCTAGAGGTAAAATCCTTGAATACCCACTCTCTAATGACGACCAGAAAGGAGCACACCTGTTTGCTCATATCTGAAATTAACTAAATGGTTTGGAAATCTTTTTTTACTTATTTTTTGTTATCTTATGTATGGATGATTGAGATATTAGTGTTTCACATATTATCTTATCCGACACTCCTTTGGCATACTATTTAGCTCTGGTTCTTGGGATTTATTTGATTTATACCGCTGCTTGCTTACAAATTTTTGTTCCTGATTCTTGTGCTCTCTACTGCCGGCTGTCTACGTTTTTCTTTTTTTTAATTTCCTTCCCTTTCTGAGTGTCGTGCTCCTTGCGACTTATGCCACCTATTTGCTTATGCTAGTTTTGCCGACTTATGCTGTTGATTTTTTTTTTGGGTTTCCTGATGCCTCTTGTTTTTATCATATACTTATTCTGTCAAATGTTTTGTGTGTGCGTGTGTGTGTTTCTTTGCATTTTTTTCCCGATGCTCGTTGTTTATACATACACCTATACTTGTGTTCTTGTTTCCTCATGCTTATGGTTCTGATTATGAAAATCTTATTACATTACATCAAACTAAAGTTTCATTTTTTTTTCATTTTATGTTCTTGAAAACTTATTTTCTTGTAAAATTTTAGAAATTTATAAAGTTGAAACTCAAATGCAATAAGCTCTTATTTACATGAATGAATAAATATCAATCAGGCCTTATTAAGAAAATCAACTTTTCCATGTAAGCAAACAAGTTTTAGTTTAAGTCAAGCACCGACCCTTGTTTAAAAATTAAAAGAACCAAATTTGAATTATAATGATAATAACCTTTCTGAATGCAATGATTACATTGAATAGGGAAACGAAACTGAAAAAAACATCCAACGATATCTTTGCTTTATATTGATATATAGGTTTGCTTGTTTTATAGTGCCAGTGATGGTAAACATGAAGAATGTAGAATCTAGTGACATGAAGCTGTGGTCATATGTCTGCTGTGCTGACAGATATGCTGAATACTGATCTGTTGAACTGTCCTATACTCTGTGTTTGTTGTATATCTGTTGTATTTGATCTTGGACTTGTAACATTAATGTGATTACTTGGATTTGTATTTGTATTATGTTGGTCTTCCCACTGTTGTGTTTGTGACTTTTGGTCTAGACATTTTTAATATGGTTTTGGATGTTTTTACTTCAACATATTGCCCTTCTCTTTGTGCAATTCAATGAGCCATCTTTTGTTTAATTTTGATCATATAGATGACAAAACTGTTTAATTTTGGTTTTGCAGTTATTTGTAGATGACTATTGACTTAAACCTATGAATCTACCAAGGTCATTTCTGATTTTTATGTGATGGCATGTCTGCTTGCTCTCTTAATTTTAATGTCAGCTGTTTAATCAAACTTCAAAGTTGTTTGATTATTTAACAAACTTTTTGTTGGATGTTAAAAGCTACTTCTACTTATGATTGCCATGACTGGTTTTCTTTCTGATTATTTTCTTTCTGAACAATAGACAATTGCCTGGAAACAGTACCTTTATGAATCTTATTGATAAAGTTTATTTTCTTTAGACAATTGCTATGTTTTACTTCACCTTCTTCCTCCTTGCATCATAGTTCTATTTTCTCCATTCCTTGTTTTCTTTTTTTATCTTACATCTATTGCTACCCATAGTGTTGGATACAATTTTGCCTCTTTTTATTGATAAGCTCATATTATGAAGAAATGGAAGTGTCAAATGTCTACTAATAGTAAAATGTTTCCCTGACGTCTTAAAGCATTCTTTTTTGGCAAAGATGCTTGCAATAACATCTTAGCATTTAGTGAGCTAAATATCCCAGCAGCACAGGTTGCAGTTGGAATGGGGATTCCTCTCTGGCAAATTCCTAGTTTGATTTTACCATACTTGACTTTATTAATTCTTCAGCAGTAATTTTTTTTTGGGTTATTTCATAATAATTTTCTATTCCTCTTCAACTAGAAATATGGCCATTTTATGGCATGGAGCCTGGTGAAGGATATGATGCTTGGAAGAGAACATGTATTTTTGTGACACTGTTTGACTAAGCAGGGAAAAGTTCAGGTCAAGTTTCCCATCATATCTCACTACTATTATTACTTCCATATTTCTGTATTTATTTTGGGTTACTAAGTCATTTAATTATTTTATAGGAGTTAAGCTTTAAAAGCAAGACAAATGTGGGGGCATACTTCTCTGTTAAGTTGCATATTTCTCTATGATACCATTCCCAAATCCATAGGGGTTAAAATTATGCCTTTGTCTTTGCTCGTGTTCATGTGTTTCAGATTCAACCTTTTTGCTTGCTAAAATGCCATTCATTTTGGTGGATAGGTGTTGCAGCCATTAAAGGAACTTGCAAAACTTATTCAACATGGAGACACCTGTGGAGGCCTCAACAACTATATTATATCATATATTTCCTAGGTCTTTAGTTTAAATAAGATAGACATTCAGTACTGTGATTCGATGTAATTGACTCAAATTTTGGCACAACATTATTACAAATAATAAGCCAATGTCAAATCTTTCCTTTTTGCCTTCTATAGAAAGTTGCTGTAGAGCAAAGCAATGCAATATTCTTTCTGTTGCCAATTTTCCTATCAATGCACTAACTAAAAATGCATTCAGTTAGGGGGGGTTCTTATTTTGCAACCTTGTCTTCTCCTTTGAGAGTGGCATCCACTGGCAATCCCTGTTTTGTTGGCCTTAAAACCGAACCAGACCTGTTTAGGTTAACCGAACCAAACCGACTAAGGTTGGTTCGGCTTTTTGGAAGGACAAAAACCAATCATATCTAAAAATGCTTAGGACCATATGTTCGATTCAGTTTGGAAAAGGTCCAAAACCAAACCGAACCAAATCGAACCTTGAACATCCCTAATTTCTTCCATGTTGCTTCGACGTATAACAGTGGTTGAACAAGCACTTTCACACTCTCTCTATAGATACACACAAAACAAATAGAAAGGAAAGGAGGCTTTTGTCTCCACGATCGGCAGTAAGAGACAGTGGCTCTTCTCCCTCCATTGACGATTGCGCGATCCGGCAACTACCGGTTCTCTCTCTCTCTCTCTCTCTCTCTCTAACTCTTCTTCTCTCTTTGGGTTTCAAAATAGTCGGCAATGGCCTCTCTTTATACACAAAAATTGGTCTTTATCTTGCCGTCAGCCGCTAGGAGTCATTGAACGCCGGAATGGTGTGACACCAATAGGCGAATACACTATTTATGGTATTCTCTCCTCCCATGTATTTAGCTAAAGCGCAGGAGTAAGCCAGGTGTGAAAAAAAATATTGAGGATAAAAATGTCCAAAATTCTTCCGAAGCAACTTTCATTTTATTACAAAAATACCACCAAAAAATTAAAAGTAGCTTTTTTTCTTATTTCAAAATTTTTTACCATTTACAGCTATTTAAAAGTAACATTTTAGACGTCTTAAAAGTTTTTTTTTTCAAGACCTTAAGGCTGGTAACAACATTTGTTATGATGAACTTTAATAGGGTTGCTTTATCTTAGCTTTTTAATTTTAATTAAAAATTTTAGAATTACCTACAAGTTTTAAAAAATTAATTTTAATTATCGAGACAGCGATATATGACTAAATTATTTATTACATTTACAGATAAGAAAAATTTTAAAATTTTTTTATAAATTAACTAGCATTGTTCTGCCTTTATTTGAAATTAACCGTCAACAGAATTACAAGTGAACGGAAAACATAAAACACATTTTACAGTGAGCTTGCGATAACCACCTTTCTGGCACCTTTTCCCCTCGTTATTTCATTCAACTCCCTCTTGAACCTCTCCATTGCTGGCCTCGGCAAGCAGAGCACTACAGCACGTCCATCTACTCCACCACCGCCCTTGTACCGCACGCAGAAACTAATCGGCCCTATGGCCGCCGCAGGGCCGCCGTACACTGGCTTCCCCCAACCAAAATCCAGCCCGTCGAACCCAAGCCTGGAATTGTCTGAAAGCAGAAAGTTTCCCGCTGTCGTGTACATAGGCCTCCCCTTCGTCACCATAAAATCCGCCACCGACTGTACGTACTCTTCGCTCATCTGGGCCTTAGCTGCCTTCACAAGCCTCACAGCGTACCCCAGCGGCTCTGTCACCAGCGTCGCCGCCCTTGCCGTTACAGCTGGATAGACGATCGCGTTGCCGTAGTACCCATCAGGTATGTGCAGCTTTCCTCGGACGTTGATGTAACCCGAGACCTGAACGATCTCTTCTGGGTCAAACCCGAGTGCCCGAGTTCGAGCTCTCCACACGCATGCGGTGAGAGCCTCAAACGTGGTGCACCTCTCGGAATGGTGGCTTTGAATAGCTCTAATCTCTTTGGGGCCAAAGAAAAAGGATCCTTGGATCATGTCCTCGTGCTGGTGGTCAGAGTGGTAATATAATTAAATTATTAGATTCTAAGAGGACACAAGCTTATATGATAATATTTCTAACAATTGAATTATCACATCTACCTACCTGACAGTTACCAGACATGGTCACGCTCGCCCGTTGCTCATACTCCTGGTGAAAGCATGTGACACGGGGAGGCGATCTCGCCGAGAGGAGCTCCCTCTGCCACACCGGCTGCACAGTGGGCAACATCTTCGCCTCCGCACCGCCACCCCGGGCAAACTCTGCAACGGCGTCCATAAACTGGTGGAAACCAGTACCGTCGCTCATGGTGTGGTTCAGCCTCACGGCGACAGCAAACCCGCCGCATCTGAACCGGGTCACCTGAATCAAGAGGAGTGGGCATCCGAGTATCCCGCTAGATCCAGGAACGTCGTGGAGAAGCTCCGCCAAGTAAGGGCTCCCGGGCTCTACCCCCAGGAGGCGAAGCTCGACGTCGGCGTCGGCCTCCGTGAAGAGGACGCCCTCGCCAGTGCAATTGACGGAGAGTTTTCTGCTAGGTCCTTCAACGATTCTTCCAGCGAACGGGTAGTAGGAGACGAGTGCTTGGGCCAGGGCTTGTCGGATGAGGTGGACGGGGTCTTTGGGTTGCACGGAAGGGTTGGAGTTGTAGAAGAAGATTGTGGGAATTTGAAAACGGAGGCCTTCTTGGTCGTCTATGTCGGAGAGTTGTTTTAGCTCGTGAGGGGTTGGCTTGGCCGGACGAACAAGAATTGGCTCTCGTCGTGTCACTGTTAAAGACAGAGGTGATGAGGTAGACAGAGACGCCATATCTGATCGATCGTATACGAGTGATGTACGAAGAAGAGAGGGAGGAAGTTACGAGGCATTTATAGAGGGAAAATACTTGCAGCAGCCAACTTCGCCTCTGTGTCCTCATCAGCGAAAAGGCTGCCACCAACTCCTCCTGACCTGTCTGGTTTGTTGACACACCGTGGAAAGTTGATAATTCTCTTTCTTAAGTTGGCTCGGCAAGAGTAGAAGTTGATAATTCTCTTCTTAAGTTGTCTCGGCAAGGGTAGGTGAGCATAATTTATTTAATTTTATCATATTTTTATTTATATTTAGTAAGTAAAATAAAATAAAATAAAATAAATTTTAAATTGGATAGATATTAGATAATAATTAGATTAAATATAAATAAATTATATTAAAAAGAGGGGTAAAATAATTTTATCCTACCTTTACCTAATTTTTTTACATAATACTATTCTTACTATTATCGTTAATCACCACTTTCCGCCACTTTTACCAAACAAGATAATTATTTAAATCATTATACAGTTAAAATATTTTATCTCAAAACATATTTTATACTATTCAACTTAGCGAATGGCCCTTAGCGTATTATATTCTAATTGTTAATTTTATTTTTAAATGTTAATTTTTTATTGAATCATTTTTTAAAATTTTTTATTCAAAATAATAGTTTGATATTTTAATAAATAAATTTCCTTAGAAATTGTTTCATATATTTTGTTTTTAGTTTATGGATATCGCACAACATTTACATATCATGAGGAATAATTTTTTTTTTTGTTCTGTTGTTGGATATTGAATATTACCCTTTAACATTTATATATTGTTTTATTATTTTAATTATTATAAAAAGAAAACATAAGTTTTTTTTTAAATAGTTGATAATATCAATTTTAATTTAACTTACATAATTTTTAATTTAATATTAGTTCATATCTTCAATAAAACATTATTTTAAAAATAATTATAATATCAAATTATTATTTTGAATGAAGAAAAAATTTAAAATATGATTTACAAAAAATTAATATAATAAATGAAATTAGCAAATTAAAAAAGTACCAAGATTGAAAAACTGGTCAAGGGGGACTCGTGTCAACAAATCAGACAGGGCAGCAGGGGGCAGCGGCCAAGTTTAGAGGGATGCAATAGGATGTTGACTTTTTTCACTAAATTAATATGTTGCTTTTGATGATTCATGAAGTCCGGTAATTCGTGAAACTAAAAAATCCGGTAATTATATTCGTTAAATGTAGCATTTCTATTTTTAATTATTTTGGAAATAATGAGGCCGGTTTTCTCTAGTTTGCACCTGTAAACGATGTCACTCCTTTGCAGGTAATTAAATGTTTTAAAATTAAATATATTGTATTTTTAATATTTTATTATTAAAATTTAAAAATTATTGTTTTTGATTATAAGTTGTTATGAATATTAACTCTTTCAGTACTAAAATTTAGTACTTAAAGCTAGTTTGATAATACAAATTAACCCTTAAAAATGAACATTTTTAGGGGGTTTCAAACGAAATATGTTCTATGATATTTAAAATCTAATCATTTAAACCAAAAAATGATTAAAGATAAGTTTAAATTTTAAGTGAAATAAATTTTATTTTTACTCTCCCAACATTAAGCCCTAGATGGGGGGAAGAGGAGGGGTTAAATTTTAGAGAAAATTATTGAGTGGAACAGTTTAGTAATTTTAATTATTTGGAAGGTCATAAGATCAAATATTTTCATTCGAAGTTAAAAAAAAATCTAATTAAGAGCATTTTATATCATCAAAATATCTATGTTACTACATAAATACATATATATATATATATATGTTTTTAAGTACACGATACATGTTTATAACTTACAAGAGGGTATTTATATAACTAAACTATATAGTTACACATACTTGAAAGAATGTATTTACATAATTATAAATATGTAATTGGATGATGGTGATGGTGATAAAGGTTGTAATTACAATTAATATATATATGTTTATAACTACACAAATACATATTTGTAACTATACAATAATAAAGATATTTTGAGAATGTAAAATAATATTTTTAACTAGACAATTTTTTTTTTTTAATATTGAATAAAAATATTTTATGTATTGACACTTTGAATAACTAAAATTACCAGGTTGTGTAGTAGCTTAGTGATTTTCCCTAAACTGAAAAGTTTGCCCTCCTAATGATAAACATTTCCAGGTGATTTGAGAGCTAGGGAGATCAAATTTTCCTTCATCTTATCTATTTTTTTCTGCACTCTTTTCGTTTTTAAAGTATTACGGCAATTGAAAGTAATATCAACACTCTAATAACAAAATTTTTTAACACTTCAACTAGTTTTGCAATAATTCTAATAATTGCAATAAATAAAAGATAAAAACAATACATTATTTAAGAAAGACACCCTTTCCATCTCATGACCCCTTATTTTTTTTTCTTCTTTTTTCTTCTTGAAGCCTCTTAACTCTCTATTTTACTGTTGCAAGAGCTTTCAGTAATGCAATGTATTAAATAAAATAATTAGATTTAATATTATGATTTCTTTTTCTTATTAGTAGAATCTAACCTCATTTTATCTAATATAAGGTTGGATTAGATGGTAAGCAAATCAATAGAATTTAAACTTATGATAATATGTACAAAATATGCATTTTTATTATATAACTAATTAATTTAAAAATACATATCCTTGTAAACATATTATGAGATGTCTGATTTTTCAAATTATTTAAACAAGTTTAATATTTTTATTTAATATTTTTAAACACTATATTCCATATAGTTAAAGGTGAGAGTAATTAAATGATGAATTAGACGAGGTTTTCGACGGGATATAGATTTGACTGTCAAAAAAATCGTCAAAAAATCAAATTTTTAAAATTCTTTTTTTATCAATAGAAAAACTGTCAGAAAATTGATTTTTTAAAATTTTTTGTTAATGTCCATTGAAAATGAAATTTTTGACGTAAAATGAGAAGTGGAGCTTGATTACATTTTCTTTTGAATGGTGACAACTGTAAGGATAACCTTTTAACATTTTTATTATACTCAATTAATGAAATATTAAAATATATTCATAAAATTTTAAAATTCAAAACGCTAAATATTAACGCTTTAATTTATCCAATACAATTTACTCTAAAAAAATTTAATTCGCATTGAAATTCTATAATCCCTCTTTACGAAGCTATGTGAGCCCACAAATAAATCTATTTTGACCGACTTTTCAACCAACTTTCACAGCAACGGAGAAGTGAGAGGTAATTACCCATCTTTTTTTTTTCCTTTTTGCTTTCGTTTAGTCTTTGAAGTGTTTGATAGTAAAATATTTTTATTTTTTTATTTATAATAGAATAAAAAAGTTATATTTTATATGAAATTTAATTTATTTAAGAAAAAGTTAATTTAGTTTGTTTTATGAAAATATTCAAATTTAAATTTCTCATAAAATTAATTTCTTCTCATAAATATTATATATTTCAAAATAATGTTCTAACTTTCCATTGACGAAAAATCGGCCTTTTCCTATAAAACCAAATATGTCTTATTTATTCTTAGTTTTTAATTTAAACATGTGCCACAAGGAATGGCAACTAAAACATAAACAACACAATTTGGATAGCTCTTGATTTTTTTTCTTTTATTTTTGTTGACACGTTGAAGGAAGGAAAAATACTTGGTTGCTGCCTCCTAGCACGTTTCTAATGCTGCCATCTAATTACTTTCGTAAGGAGCTTTTTCATATTAATATTTATATTTATTTTTAATTATTAAAATATATATTTTTAAATTATTTATCGAAATATATAAATCAAATTTCATTTAGAAGTGAATTTTAGCACAACCAACTTTCAAACAAAAGTTAGTTTGTCTCACTTGATTTCTGAAAGACGTTAGTCCAGACCTGAGTGAGAGAGAGAGCTATCGGTCGGTCGTCCACCCAAGTTGCCAGGTGGCGCTAGACCCCTTACTGTCTTGGTTGACGAAAACAACGCAAAGGCAGTTGACACTTCATAGAAGCAGAGCCACCGGTCTCCCCTCGCTGCTGGTATATTTGATGCTAGGTGCTGCCACCTGTCTCAACAGATTATTTATCTGCTATGCTGCTGGACAGGTGTCAAGCATCCAAGGGTGCTGGGGCAGCACCCAGCATCAAATAAACCCTCGCCGCCTGCCTATCACACACATGTCGCTTGTTGAACGTTGACGGTGAGCAAAAAGTGTCATGCGACGGGTGATGGTGGGGCGATCGGTTGGCAACCATTTGGGATGGTCGGCCAACTGCTTTCTCTCTCAACTCTGACTGACTTCTTTTGAAAGACAACTTACTGACAAGTTAATTCAGTCTAAACCAACTTTGTTTTGAAGTTCGACTGAATCCAACTTCATTGGGAAGTTGATTCTATGCAAACTAACTTCCAAACAGAATTTGGATAGTAAAATATTGACTTCCCAATTAAATTAATAAATAATTTTAAAATATATATTAGTAATTAAAAAATAAAAAACAATATTAATATAAAAAGCTTGTGTGTGGAGTTTTTTTTTGTTGTTTTTGTTTAATTTATTGATTTTATTTTTTTCATAATAATTTTTTGTGAATCATTTTTTAATATTTTTCTTCATTTAAAATAACAGTTTGATGTTAAACCGTTCTTAAAGTTGAAAAAAAAAAAAACTCTCTCTTGAGGATTAGAATTGATCTTAAATTAAACAAGTATTTAAATTAAATAAAATTTAATACTATCAAATCATCATAAAAATTATATTTTTTTAATAATTAGCAATAATAAAATAATATATAAATATTAAATGATAATATTCAATATCCAATAGAATAAAAAACAATATTTAATTACATGTAATTGTCATGCGATCTGCTCAAAGTAAAATATATGAAAAAGGTTTCAAGCAAATCTTTTCATTAAAAATAATCATCTGGCTTTCTCTTATTCGTGGATAAAATTTGCAACTGAATTTTCATATAATAGATGAAAGA